CTTGCAATTGCAAGGAAAAGCCAATTGGATTTGGGGCAACTTGTTACCGGCCTATTAGGTGGATCAAGTCACTGAAATCAACCCAAAAAAGTGAAGAAGGTGTGATTAAGTTTTATAAAATTTATTTAATTTCACTGATATTTTATTAATTTATAATTAATTTTAATATATTAAATAATAAAGATTAATTATTTTTTAATAATCAAATTAAATGAGTTCCGTGTGGCCTTAATTTTGTGGCACCGGACCATACCGACATCACACCCTTTGTATTGACAATTTTCATTTTGGTCCAAACTGAACGCATCTTTTCTATGGTGTGCGTGTTGAAATTTTGACAATCAAAATATTTTGGTTGATCTAAATATCCGATGCTACATCTTTGCTCCAAACCTTAGGGGATCAGCTCTATTACATTAATTAGATTTCCTTTTTGTTAGTAAGAAATGATTTCTAGACGTTATAATTAGCTATCAATGACTTAAATAAATTAGTGATAATTTTTTTTAAATAAAAATAAAAAATATTGAATTTGAATTGCATAATATGTGATAAAACAGAGTTATCTCTCATTATATAACCTCAAATTCAAAAAATTTTAAAAAAGAAAACTATAATTAGCTAAATTGCAATTTCCATTAATTATAATTAACATGCATCATAAGTAAAATTGTACTTACTAATAAAGGATTTGAAGTTAAAGCTATAAACATGTAATTTCTAGAGCAAAGATTTTGATGTTAAGTTTCTAAATCTCATAATTTTTATCAATTTTAAATAAACTTCTATCCACCCCCTATTATACTCCAGTAATATGTGAAAACATTTCTCATTGCTTCAAAACATAATGAAATTTAGTAGGATTTAAGACTATCAAAGTATTCTTTTTGGGATTTTTTTTAATTGGGGTATTAAATTTCAGGAATAATAGTCGAAAAATTTTAGGAATTAAAGAATTAAACTTAAGACACAACAATAGGGTTAAAATATAAAAAATTTTCTCTACCTACTCAAGGGTTTTGGCTTAGTTAATAAAAAATTATTGACTAAGGTTTGATTTTTTTAAGTTATTGAAAAATATTTCCTTATAAATTATTTTGTTTTTATATGAATGACTTATTTTTAATCAAATTAGTGAACAACTACTATTGAGATGCACCTAAACTGATTTAAGAACATTTTAACGACAAAACAAAAAACTATTCTCCACCTTCAAAATTTTTTTAAAAAAATATTCTATGATAAATTTTTTTTAACTAATGGAGTTGATTCAAAAGATTAAAAAGTCATTTAAATTATATTGAGAATGTAAATTTGAATCTCTTTAATATCATTGTTTTAAAAATAATTTTAATTAATTATCACTTACGACCCTTTAAAGTAGAACCTTATTTAGTACTAATAGATAAAATAGTTAATTTATTTAGTAGTGATAGATAAAATAGTTAACAAGTACCGATAAATTTAGTTAGATATTTATATTATTTTTTTAAAAGCGTATTATTGTGTGCAGGGAGAGTAACAGAATGAATACAAAAATGCAAACAATAGAGAGTTTGTTACAGGCAATGAGGTAAGGACAAAAATCAGAATAATAAGTGAATGAGTGAACATATCATTATTCTGATAAATTGAATTGGAGTCCATCTGGCTTCTCATAAATGTCTGCTACGTTCGGCTTCCCTTCACGCGTTTCCTCCACGATGGCCAAGGTGAAAAACCAGTAGAGCCACTGCACCTGTCACGTAAATTATTACAAAATATTATATTTATTTATTTGTAATTAAATTAATAATTTAATTAATTTAATTAATTAAATTGATCAAATCAAAAACTAAAAGTCAAAATGATTTGATTTCTCGGTTGATTTTGGAAACACTGACTTAAAATATCAACTTTGTATTTTTCAATGTAAATTAAATATTAAAAGATTAATTAATTATACCTTTAATAGTAACATGTGGCTAAGAGTTAAATTAGAAATTTCCTTTTGAAAAAAGGGTTAACCGTCCAAATCAAAATCCAAAAATTCATGAATGATATTTCTTGAAAGATAAGCTAGCGTGACTGAGGGTTCCGTGCTCGGCAGGAGAGCTGCTTTTTCATTATTAATTATTATAAAAAAAATAACGGTTCATTTTTGCTTTATTAATAATTTAATTAAAATTATTTACATAATATTAATATTAAAATTAATATTCTTTTATATTCTTTCATATCAATTAATAAAAAAATATAATAAATACACTTTAAAACATATATTATAAAAAATCTTTTCCTTACTGAGAGGTAGTTCAATTCTCCTCCTATCTAGTTATGGATATATGCTCTTAAGCATATGTTATTTTTTTTTTAAAAAGAAGTT